GAATTTTCCTTTCCTTTCCTTTCCTGGAATTTTCCTTTCCTTTCCCTTCCCTTCCCTTCCCTTCCCTTCCCTTCCCTTCCCTTTCCTTGAAATTTCCTTGAAATTTCCTTTCCTGGAAATTTCCTTGAAATTTCCTGGAAATTTCCTTTCCTGGAAATTTCCTTTCTTCTGATAAAATACTTTCTTCTATTCTTTTAGTATAGTTTTAATATAACATATAAAATAATATATATAATAAAATAATAAAATTCAGCCTTCTGAAACATGGAGTCAAGATTCTCATCTCTTCCCTCATCCTGGGACCCCTGTGAACACCACCACACCCTTCTGCTTAGGCACAAAGCCTCTCTGCTGACTTGTCCCCAGTCCTGCTGCTTCACCTTTGTCCCTGTCCCATGTCCCCAAGGGACATGTCTGATCCCTGTCTCTCAAAAGCAGAGGCATTTCTCAGAGAAACTGCTTGGAAATGGTTCTGAGCAGGGTTCCCAGGCACTAAAACCCAAATCACCTCCACAATTAAACAGAGGAGGCACCAGCATGGTTTGGGCTTGGACCAACGAATTCTTTCCCAGAAAAGTCCTGAGCACAATTTGGGATTTAGCACGGGGCAGGGAACATTCCCAGCAGGCAGTTTGCATGTGGCCTCCCTGCTGTGGCCACAGGCTGGGTGCTGTGCCCCAGTCTGCCCCAGCAAACAGCCTCAGACAGGTTTAATCTGCTGCTTCAGACACAGCCTGGGCATCTGGCTTTGAAACTGCATTTGGCATCTCTCAGCCCAAGTCTGCCCTCAATTTACAAGAACAACAGTCTGGTGTTTAATGAGAGTTATCTGATGAGCTGCACTCCCAGGACTTGGCTGCTAGCCCAGGGAACACAGAGGCACTGCCTGCCCTGCCAGGAGGGAAAGGAAGGTAACAGGGGCCCACTGAAGCAGGAAAGATCTCTAAAAGAATATTCCCATCTCATGTTCACCCAGTTTCCTGGGAATTTGAAGGTTTCAGTTGTAAAATCAAGTTATTTTAGCTGGGTACTGAGGTATGCACTTCAGTTTTCTCCAGAAGTCCCTGCTGGGACATTTACTGCTTCTTCATTCTCCACTCAGCTGAGAGATGTGCCAGAAACTCCTGACCCAGACCAGCAACAGCCCCAAAGTCCAGGGCCTGACCCCCAAATCCTCATGGAGAATTCAGCTAAATGAAGTTGTTTCTAATTAGGGCTTGCAGCATCAGGACCCAGCTCCTTCACAGAACCACATCAAGTGCTAAACCTAAACCTCCACTCCAAGCCATTTAAAGGCATTTTGGTGTTTTTAATGTGTGATTGAGCTGTGCACTGAGCCAGCCAAGCTCTGCTCCTCACACCCTGCCCAGTGATGCAAACAAGGGAATGCAATTCAACTCACTTATACTGCTCCTTGGCCTGCATAATGACAAAATCCCACTTGTAGTTTATTTTTTGATTGAGCATGTTGTAATGTTCCTGGAATAAAAATAAAAAAGCAGTTTAGTGTGAAAATTCTGACCAGGGCACTCCCATGCTGGGGTTTTCTTGACTCTCCATCGTTCAACGAGGCCAGGCTGGCCACTGAGCCAAGAAATCTGGATTGTTCTGCACGTAATTACAAGAATTGCAACAGTTCAAAAATACCATTGCAAGGAGAGCAATTACCCCTGCTAAAATTGTAATTGACTTCACAGGAGTTTGCTGTACTGGTTGTTTTTTTCACTTGCAAAATGTTGGTTTTTGATACAGCTGCAAGAACACCTCATGCAATTGAAGAGGTGATTTTTTTTTTTTTTGCTGTGCCCCACTCATTAGCAATAAAGGGCTTAAGCTGTAGCAAATGAGGGTCTTGTAATGGAACAAGTGCAGTGTCTCCTCACCTTTTCATATTCTTCCAAAATCCCTTTCCTTTTAATGTTCTTCTTCGCTAGATAAATTGCTGTGGAGGTAGAAGCAAATTAGCAGTCAGTTATACAAGTGCAAGAATAATTAAAAATTTACCCACATTACAATCACAGGAGCCTTTGTCTGCTAGAATATCTTGCCAGGCATGAGCTCCAAGCTCACAGGAAGAAAGGACTTTGGTGCTTTTGGGATGGCACTGATGCCCAGGCAGGACAGGCAGTGTGTCCTTCTGCCACCCTTCCCTGCCAACTCAGCCACAGTGTCAAGGGACACTGGACCAAACCTTCCAGGTGTGAGGCTCCCCAGAGCTTGACCTCCAAGTTTTCTAAGCACAGGCCAGTGGTTTTTGATAAAAAAAAAAAAACATTCCAGTCTAAACGAGGCTCTTTTATTTCCTTGGGAAATCTGCAGCATAATGCAGATAAAAGCAACAGAGGACAGCCCTGGCATGGACAAATCAGCCTGGGAAGTGCACAGCTCACAGGAGCAAACCCAGCTGATCAGCCCAAAATTCATGAGCAGCTCTACAACAAAAAGCATCATAAAGGCAACAAGAGATTTAGATGGAAAAACCCATCAGGAGATATTGGAAGTCACTGTGCTTTCTACAAAGGAAAATAAGAACCATCTCTGAATGCAGGGCTTGGTCCAAAGCTACAGGAAGACAGCCCTGGGCTCAGGTCCAGGAACACACTTAACTGCTCAGGGAAATCTAATCTTGTGCTTAAAGCCTTCCCTCCCCAGCCAGGTAATTCAGATGTGCTCCTGTGTGATGGATCTTGGTGGAACAGAAGAGCTTCAGCACTTTCTCTCAGCAAGGCCACCTCAAGATGGTCACACCCTCCATTCACCATTACTGAGAGTTATTCACAAAACAGCATGAAAAAAATTGCCAGGGCAGAACTCACTCCCTGTGAGTGGAGATGATGCACAAGAACAGGAAGAGCA